CGCCCCCCCCCCCCCCCCCTCCCCCTCCCCCCAAAAAAAATATATAGAAAGCTCATTAGCCAGTAGACCATTGGACGTTTCAAAAAGGTTTGAAATGGTGGAACTGTGTAACTAGAATATAGTTCACTTTTCCAGAGAAAATTAAGTTTTAAACCAATACAACAAAAAGGCTTACCAGCTAAACTTTTGTTTCTCCTGAAATTTGCATAATCAGCAAGTTTGCGAGCTACATCTTGCACTGAAGACACAACCTGCTTTGCATTTGTAACCAAATCTGTGACACTTTTCCAGTCTTCTTTCTCAATTACACTCATCCTGATGAAAATACCATATCCTTTGATCAAACCTTTTGTTGGCTAACTAGCAAGTACATATTAAGCTTTTAAAGCCATTGACACCTACTAGATTTTAGTTTAGATATTTAAGCTCTACAGTGGTAAATACATATAGAAATTATTTGTTGGAATACTCAGTTACCATCCAGTATCCACACATTTTCACCCCATGTCTAACTTGATAATACAAACCTCAAACAATGAGTCCCGCATTTATAGTAAAAAAGTGTACAAGTTCAAGGAAAAAAAAATTTATAGCAGAGATGCAGTTGGTTCCTAAGTGCTTTCCTGCATGTCAGACAAGAAGAGAAGCTGTCCTTACTTCAACATTATAAATTAAATGTCACTTACCAATCAGTTTGAAGAATTTCATTTCTGAGCCTTGTTAGGGAAGCTACACTCAATCTAGGTATAATATCATCCTGTACATTTTCAAAAACAAGAAGTCATAAGAAACACAATAGATAAATAGAGACAAAACTTGGGAAAAGAATATTACTCATCTTAGGAAACCATAGATATAATTACTTTCTTCTAGATCAAATATTGTTAAACAGACATTGTCATACATTATCACATACCTGCATCACAACATTGTCATACATTATCACATACCTGCATCACAACTGTCGATACATAGCCAGAGCAGCTTTCAGCAAGTTCTTTGGAGACACATGGTGGAGTTCCATATCCAACAGCAGACACAATGTCAGGGCTAAAACCCAGCTCCTTTGATGATTTTCTACGGATCATTATTGCCAACAAAGAAGCTATAGCACCTCCCAGAGAATGACCGACAAGTCTTAACTTAAATCCCTGATAAAGAGTTAACCACACCTCATGACATGAATGAGAAAAACAAATGAATTAAGAAACAAAAACCAAAATAGATGATGATCATCCCCACCTCATGTTTCTCTAAGCATTTTCTTATGATTTCAATCTCATGATGGAGAAACCAACGTGCAGATTCAGCAGTGCCAAAGTGGGTTGAATAGCCTTCAAAGGTGACTTCACCATCACTTGAGGAAACAATATCAGTGACAAGGTCATATATAGTATGTGTGCCACGAATGCCCAAAATTACAAGCTTTTTACGGGTATCAACCCCTATATAATATCCAGGCCTCATTATACTGGAGTTTTTAACAAATTTTATGATATTACTTTCTCGAAGCATGCTGTTCTTTGAAAGACTAGCAGGGCTATCCCTATAAGCACCTTTAGCCAACTCAATATGATAAATGAGATCTTGAACCTGAAATCCAGTAATAAGATTTATTGATAAGAATCAAGCATGTAATGGACCACAAAGATTTGTAGTGATATGCTAACATTAATAGTATAACATCACAATATCGCATGAACATATAAATATAATATATGACTTTGCCTCTAAAATGCAGTTTAAGAAGTTACAATTGATTCTGACAGTATCTGAATGCCTTTGATATCTTCAAATGGATGTGTAGAAGCTTGACGAAGATAGATCAGATACAAGCCAATCGTAAGGTCACTCAAGCTCCAATCTTGGATTCCAATCTTGCTCCGTTGGATGCAGGCAATTATTTCCATAAGGGATCGATTGCTTGGTGGGGGTTTGTTTACTATTCCATCTCCTGCATAACATGGAAACTGAGTCAGCCTCATTTTATTTTAAAGAAAATTGGAACATTATATGATCAAGTGTTTATGGAGCAAAGGAAAGACATATGGTAATTATATAAATAAATTTTATCATTTAATGTCATTGAGTCATGTGAGCAAGCCTTGGCACAGCGTAAGGCTGTTGTCTAGTGACCTGGAGGTCATAAGTTAAATCTTGGAGGCAGTCTCTCCACTTGCAGGGGTAATAAAGCTGTGTACATCTACCCTCCCTAGACCCCACAAGAAAGAAGCCTCGTGCACTAAATCACCCTACTATAATGTAACTGAGTCATATGACTCATAATTTGTTTATAACAGATGACTTTATAGGAAGGTACTTGCAATTTATGGCCATGCTAACTGTCTAACTTCATCAGATGAAACATGTTATGACAATGTGACTTATAACACTTAACAGACCTGTTGGCCGAGCCCACCTACAAAATTGCAGAGCAGGTTCAAGTGCCTTTGTGAGCCAAGCCAGCTCTAACTTCCACTTACTATCCGAGGGATCTTCATCATCAGAACTGTATTTGCTAATCCCATAATTCCCATCAGCCTTCTTAACTTTATATTTAAAAGAACTCTGTTGTGTTTCTTGCTCTTCTTTTGGCTTATCTTCTACCTTGTCTGCTCTTGACCTTTGCAATTGAAACCGGTTAAAAACACCATGTATATAGTTCCAATGTGGTTTTTCTCTATTGAGAACAAATTTGGTAGAATCTGCACCTTCAATTAAAAGTAATAGATATGAATATTTGGATACCATTTCCTAGCATGTGAAAATTGCATTAACAAAAATAATGGCACCCAAATACTAAGGCAATAGGAACTCGGGACCCATTCCGTTAAACTGTTAGGTGAAATCAGTTCTTCATGAACTATTACTGCATCAACCCATAACCAGAGTGATAACACAAAATCTCCGGTTGAAGATAGGCCTTTGGGCATCTTTCGTTTTCAACAATTCTTTTGCATATATATACTCTACAAGTAAACAAATGTTCTAATGTCGCTATATGCGCCTATGACACGTGCAATGAGAGAGCGTGGGTGCACAAGTTATTTTAAATTAAAATATTAAATACTAATAGTCAAACATATAAAATTTATTACATAACTCGTAATAATTCCTAGTTCACAAAGCAATTAATATTTGGAAAATTTGATCTGAAAAACAAGTTTGCAGTAAATCGTGATGTCTGGTTGAAAACAGCAGAACACGATCTTGGAAGAAAAAATCAGAGTGGCATTATTTAAAACTTAAAAGTGAAAGGTGATGCAAACATATGATGCTGTTACTAGATATCAGTAGAAACACTCTCCAGCGCAATTTGCAATTGACAATTGAAAATCAGGCTGGTTCCATTCCAGCAGCAGGAAAGCGGGATTGACGATTTGAATATTGAGAAACGCAACCGGAGTGGTAGAAGCAATAACACAAACGAGTGGTGGGCATATAAAAAAAAACATTGTTATGAGGATGCGGTGTGTGAAATGCAGCATAAAGCGGGAGAAAGTGAACTTACGGATATTACGGAGCAATTGCTTGGCGTATTGGGTATTCATTTGGAAGGGAAGAGGAAGAGAGGGTTGGATTATGGATACAGCACCACCGCTTCAGGAATACTCTATAAATCAATCTTCTTACATTAAACCAAACCAATCAAATATATATATATATTGACATCTCTTTCTTTTACTCCTATTGATTTGTCAAAGCTATGTTTTTTCTACATTTTTTTTATTACTCTTATTAAATTTTCTAAACAATATGAAGCTTCTCCAACACCCACCACTAAATATGTGCACCTATCAATTTTTTTTCCCATACACCCACAAATGAATGATACAAATCACAATAACAACCATGCATCACCAAATTTAAGGGAGCAATATTTTATTCCCAGTCACATCTGTCTTTACTTGATCATTAGATAAAGCTTATCAATGTTTTGATCACAATAAGCAAACGCACCAAATTTACTATTAGAAGTTGGCAAAACATTAACGAAATTTGAGACTAAAAATATTAAATCCAAAAGACATATATGTGTTCCCAATTTTGCTTCTTTTATTATGTATAAGCATGTATACTGGCTTCATAATGAAACAAAGACTTTGATAGGCAAACTTATCAAATTCTTACCTTTCCGCAACTACTAATGCATATGAAGAATATCATAAGCATAATTCTTAATTTTATTTGGCCATATTTTCTTTTTGGCTTTTATCTATTTATCTTTTTCCTGATATGGTTAGTGCATTGGGTTAATATTTGTTTCTCTGCTTACATGATTGTGTACATAAGAAGAAAATTTGGAAATAAACAACTCTGACCATCAAAATATCATAGTCCACCTAACTAATATTTTATATGTACCACTGATAATTAAGTTAGGATCAAAGTTTGCGTGACCATTATGTAGGGCCCGATTGTCCACCTTTTCCACCACCATAGTATGATATTGTCCGCTTTGGGCCCAAGCCCGCACGGTTTTGTTTTTGGGCTCCTTCCCAAAAGGCCTCATACTATGTGGAATGGTGGACACTTATAAACTAGCCAATGTTCCTTCATTTTACCGATGTGGGACTTGGGATGAATCCCAACAAACCTCCCCTCAGACCAAGGACCACATGTCTCGTGATCTCCTCCCCTCAAGCGATAATCCGTCACCATCTTGTACCGCCGTTAACTCTACGGGACACGCCGCCTGAACACCACAATATCAGGAAGACTTTCGACACAAGGCACCAAGTTCGAATCTCCATCGCGAGGCACAACACTGAGGGTCTTCCCGCATCAAACCCAGACGAACCGTTGGCTCTGATACCACTTGTAGGGCCCGATTGTCCACCTTTTCCACCACCATAGTATGATATTGTCCGCTTTGGGCCCAAGCCCGCACGGTTTTGTTTTTGGGCTCCTTCCCAAAAGGCCTCATACTATGTGGAATGGTGGACACTTATAAACTAGCCAATGTTCCTTCATTTTACCGATGTGGGACTTGGGATGAATCCCAACACATTATTGATTGATATTGTGGCAGAGTGGAATAAAATGAAATTTAAAATGAAATGAAATTTCAAAGTAATAAAATCTTATATTTTATAGAAAAATTATCTCAATTCATGATATAATAATAATATTTTATATTTGAACTAACCAAAATTTCTTGAATCAATTCTCTTTTACAGAATTTTTATTTTTCCAAATTAAATCAAAATGCTTAAACTGATATCTACAAATTAAAATTTCTAATATCAATAAAAAAAATATATTACATTGATTTTTTTATATAAAAAAATTGTAGTAAAACAAAATCAAATAAAAAATTATTAGTAAATAATTAAAATATATGAAAAAAAAAACTTTTAATCAAATCATTTTTCATTCTCGAAGGAAACTCAAAAAGAGAAATTCTATTCTCTCATCGAGTAAATAGTGATGAAGCTCAGTGGGAATCATTCCCATGATGAAAACCACTCCATTAAAAAATTCACCACCAATTTTTCAAGAAGCTGAATAGCAGCTGAGCATAGCAAGTAGGTGTTGCTTCTTAAACTAAAGACAATCATTCGAATCATTGAGATCTTAAATTGTTGATTTCAGAGATTCACTAATTAAAAGACAAAGATGCACATGTTATAGAAAATTCGTGATTTCAATCAAATAACTTTTCAGATCTTACCATCACATTTATGCTTCCTATTTATTTATTTTTTTAAATGACATTAATAGAAAACAGTGCATTTTACTGAAACTCTTAAAATCTTAGTCTATTTAAGAAAACTTTTTAAAAAATATTATCGTATAAAATAATTATTTTTTAGTTTTTTTAATTTGTATGTATAGAAAAATATTCTATTGACGTAAATCCACTTCATATGACGTTAAACGCGGCCCAACAAGAGGCCCAATTAGAGTAGAGCGATGTCCCACTTTTAATTTGAAATGTTTTCTTTGTCTCTGTTGAGGAAAAGAAATAGAAAAAAACACAGCGCCCTAGATTTGCTCTTCTTTGCTTCGGAAGAAAGAGAAACAAATCAAATTCAAAGCAATAGCATTAGCAATGGCCTTCGCTTCTTTCCTCGGCAGAGTCCTCTTCGCTTCCCTCTTCATACTCTCTGCTTACCAAGAGTCAGTGCTCGCTACCTTCTTTTCACTTTTTGTAATTTCTTTTTTTCTCTTCATTTGATGCGTACGATGTTGTTCTTGTGTTTTTTTTTATTCCAACACCGTAAGTTTCCCAATTCTCTGTACTTTTTTTTTTCCATAGATTCGGTTATTTGGTTGTTGTGTTAGTTGGATCCGTTACGTTTAAGGTTTGAAACCGTTTGTCTGAGTAAAACTACCGCGTAGATCTGCGTGTATTTTTCCTTGTTTGCTCCACTAAAAGTTGGAAACAACGTTAACATGTTTTTTTTTTTTTTCTTCCTTACGTTGTTGTCGAATTTGAGTTTAGGGGATGCGTTTGAAAAAGTTATGCTAAGATTTAGTTGAAGTGCGAGTAACTGGTTTCTATTTTTGCTTCTTTAAGCTGGAATATGGTATGGTTATGGTTATGTTGAATAATTACTATATTTTCCTGTGTGTTGTGCAATTCGGCATTGGTTTGACCATGTTTTCATTCTTACTTAATTGGATTGCTTTGAATTATTGTGTGAGACTTCATTATTGGGAAACATTCAATTGTACTTGATTTAGAAATTAGAAATTAGAAATTTAGAAATTATTCATTGTGGGGTTTGTTGCTTTTGCTTACTTTCCATGTTGAGTTAGAGGGTAGAGGTTAATAATTAAGTTCTTTCAATTTGACATTTTAAGTGTGCAAGCACGCTTTTGCTAGTTATTCTTTGCTGGTTCTCTTTTCTTTTTGATGGTCCATCCCTGCTTTTTTTGTGCTGAAGTAAAGTTTCTTGTTTACTGTGTCTTACTGTCTTCTGGTTTTTTTTTTTTTTTTACTATAGATTTAATGAATATGGAGTTGATGGGGGACCTGCAGCGAAAGCACTCAGACCTAAGTTTGATGCCTTTACACATCGAGTGCATTCTCAAGTTGGCTTTCAACTTCCAGAGATTGATGTTAGTCTCTCTCTCTCTCATGTGCACACACAGCACATGCATGTGCCTTTTCTGGAAAACTAGATCTGCGACTGTTTTCATTTTAAAGTAATTGAATAATTAACTAATTAACTAATTCAATAATAAATATTTATGTAATGCTGTCTTATAGAACATGCAATGTATGTTGAAAGATGATTGTACCCTTTCATTATAAAAGGGACGTGCCTGATTAGAAAAGAGAAGAATAGGACATGCTTGTGTTAATGAATATTACTTCTGCCATGAATGATATAATTGAGAAGAAAAGTAATAGAACTGTAGATCTGTTAGCGAAATTGAAAATGTTGGGAGGGACAATACACGGTAGGTATGGGTTGGGGAAGTTGTGAAGAATTTAACATCACAATTTTACACTTAGTTTATACGTCAAAATGTACTTAAGTTGACTTTTCCTTCCTTTTTGCATGCATATATTATCATGTATAGTAGAATTTCTCTGATATTGTCTATGTCTTGAACAGACGAAAATTTTAATTGCTGGGGCTATTGCTCTGAAGGGCCTTGGAGGGGTTCTTTTCATATTTGGCAGCTCTTTTGGAGCTCTCCTTCTGGTATGTAGTCAAATTTTCTCTATGAATATATTGGATTTCATATTCTCCTCATGTAATTTAATTTATTTTTTTGGCTATAGCTCCTGCATCAGCTGATTGCTACTCCAATCCATTATGATTTCTACAACTATGACAGTGAGGACAAAGAGTTTACTCAACTTTTCATCAAATTTACACAGGTCAGAGCATTGAGTTATTTTCATGTCTCTGTGGCTGTATTCAAGGTGTTGTTACAATGTTACGTGATGTATTTCTGCTCTTGTTCATGAATATAATTTCTCCTTGCAGAATATGGCTCTTTTTGGGGCTCTGTTGTTTTTCATTGGGATGAAAAACTCCATCCCTAAAAGGCAACCCAAGAAGGCTCCAAAAACAAAAACCTATTAGTTGAGGCATTGTAGGAGTGTACCGGTTCTTCATCATATCCTCTCCAATCTACCAGGATTTGGGTTCTTTGGTTCAGTGTCAATCTTCCACCCTTTCAGTTTTGTAGTTTTGGCTTCACTCGGATTAGATTATTGGCTATGATTATTACTTTTATATGATCTGTTATCATTACAGCTTTAGGAACTATCTTTCAATTGCTAAACTTGTCTGTCAGAAAAGGAAACAGAAGGATGAAAAGCCTTTGCGCTTAAACTTCATAGTTCAGAGTTCCAATTTCATTGTGTTCTATTCTATCTATCTTGATGTAAGGTCTTCAATGTGTGGCACGTCAAGTTATTTCTTGACTTTGGTCCATGGATTTTTGTGCCCCTTTCCCTTTTCTTGTATTTTAGTTAACTTCCTGTTATATGATGATTTCTCCACTCTCAAAACAACTTTATGTGTTGGGTACCGGACAAAAAAATAATAAAACAAATTAATTAGATTAAAAGTTAATTTGGATAATATCTGATAATTAATAAAAGAATTCTTGACGTAAAATGATTAATTTGGTTAAAATTAATTCCATGCGTCTCAATTTAGTAAGTCAAATTAGAGGGGCCACCTTTGTAGAAGACAAAGTCAATTGTCAAGAAGAGTGTCTGACATGGGAAGAAGCATAATGCCAACAGTAGTAAGAAATGAATCCGCCATTTGAAAAGATTGAACAATTCAAAAGCTGTAAAAGAGACGTCTATGGATTGGAGACCTAGCGATTAGCGAAGGATTCATAAATTTTGTTACGGAAACAATGTGTATATATATGATTTTGTAGCGACAATATTTATTTATATTATAAATTAACTTTTTATTTTATTTTAAGTTATAGAATACTTTATAATTATAAATTTATATTATATTAAAAAATTAAAAGCTTGTGGGGGATATTTTAATACATGAATTTATATATATATATATATATCAGACTTATAATGATAATATTAAAGTAGAAATCTAAATTATGTGTATATTATTTTAATTTTCATTATTAAGTCAACTTTAGTAGTTTAATACATAAATACTTTAATGTTTCATGTCATTATACGATAAGGTTAATTATATTTTTTCATAACTATTTTATTAGTGTGACGATAATTATTTTTTGTTGAAATATTTGATTGATTATCTTTAACAGTAATTTTCATTTAAATTACATTTTTTTTTCTTTTATGAGATTTGGACTTGAACCTTATCGAAAATGATTGATTTTGATTTTACTTGTACCAATGAGACGTTAGTATAAGTTAAATTAGATGCATGTTCTAATATTGTTTTAACTATGATACTTTATTCTTATTTGATACATGTTCGTATAATTTAATGTTTAACATGATTGGTACAACATGTTGGTATAAGTTAAATTAGATGCATGCGGTGATATTAATTTTTCTATCATATTTTGTTTTGTTTTGATACATGTTTATATACTTTGATGTATTAAATTAGATTTGATGATTTAAATTAGATTTAATGTTGACTTGGATACATGTTTCAATATTTTACTATGTTTTGTTCTTAAACTTTGGTTTATTTATAAATGATTTGATAGTTTGTAGTTGTTATGATAAATATATATCTTGAGCTTGATAATTTATATGATATGTAAGACCATTTTTTTTAATTATTAAAAGGAGGTAAGTACTGATATGTATGATTATACCTTTTTTAAATAAAAAAAAATATGACCACACTTTTAAGATAATTTGATATATGTGTGAATGTACATTCTAAGTTATGCTCTGATATGTTTAAATCTAGTTTGTTAAAACAAATTGATTTGTTAAGAAAGCAATTATCTATGGTGAATAATAATAAATAAACTAGTTCCCTATCAATTCAAAGCGTCTTTATAAAGACAATTGAATTCTAAAATGAATTTAATATTAAGTATCTTAAGTGGCTAGCATTATAGACATAGAGATCATTCTTAGGGGAGCTCAAAGCATTTAGCAAAAGTAAAATTAATCAAAATCATTTTTCCTTCATCATAAAAAGAAGATTGTTAGAGTCTATATGATTGACACTCCATAACTTAATGAGTAATGAAACGTTAAAAGTTAGATTTTTTTTTTATGAAGGATCGATTTGTTTTATCAAATGCACAAAATTCTAAAAAATATATATTCCTATTTAACATTTGATAGATCAAAGGCTCAAAGATATGTATATCTTGAAGCTTAAGCATGAGAGCAACATAAAATTCAAAATACTAATTGTACCGTGGTGGTCTCCCATTGGCTGACCCGAGGCACATCGACAAAATGTCGAGCCCATAATAGGGACTCAAATATGGGAAGATTTACTGGCTCACTCAGACAATCAATAAGATCCCACAATCCGTGGGAACGGTAATAAATACCGGGAGTTACGAGTCCACAATGGGACGTGATTTATGAGATCATAAAGAGGAGTGTGCGATTCATGTCTGTAACGCTACACCATTATATATAACAATGATTAGGTCTAAGAAAGTAGGTTACTCTCATTGAATGTTCTAGGTCAAGACTGTTGTCAAGTTCTTTTAACTCGGTATCGCTAAGGGTTCTTCGGCGGCAATCTCCAATACCGGAACATTTTGGCGCCCACCGTGGGGCAGGTAAAATTGCATCCCACACCTTTGTTGTTTGACGTGAGCAGAAGGTCGCAATGACGAGGATTCTGAGAAGCAATGCGACAAGAGCTAGTAACGACGACGTCAATGGTGCCATAACTAGGGGCGCCGGCGAAATTGAAAATCCCATTCCCGCCGCCGACGGCCACACTCTAGAAGAAATCTTGGCCGCAATAGAAACCTTGCAACGAGAGAACGAAGAAGCGCGAAGCAGAGAAGGAAAATGTCGTCGGTGATGAACATGTTCGGGTGCGGGGTGGTGAGGGCTCCGCCGCAAGCATTGGGGATTGGGAAGAGAAGCGGTGGAGGATTGACGATAGTGTGTTCGTCTCGGCCTCAAAAGAAAGCGACGGCGCATCACAGGAAGACGCGGCCATGGAAGACGCAGCCGTGGGATATAAATCAGAAACCTACGGTGTACGATCCTCTGCCTCCTCTTCCTCCCGATTGGACGCTCGTTATTCCCGCCGATGCTTCCGCTGCTCCTCCGCCTCCAACTCCCGCTCCCTAGCCACTGTGTTTGTTCTCTTCAACCCTAACATGCTTCCTGCTACTATTCATATATCTATATCTGCTTCTATTTCATGTTCATGTCCCAAATCTCCGATTCGCCATTTGTTTTCGATGAATTTTTAGCTGTGATGAATTGTTTCGTCAACTACTTCATTATGTCAATTCGATTAAATTTCGATTGTAGGCTCGTCTTCTAGCTTTGATTTTCTTGTTTTTTATACACAAGTTCAATCATCTCAGAGATGACTTTGACTGGTTGAGATTGCCAAATTTAAAGAGTAAATTAAAATTATACTCTGAACCTTGGTGTGAAGAGCACTTTAAGGTCGGCATTTTGACGATCCAAACCTTGGTGTGAAGAGCACTTTAAGGTCGGAATTCAGACGATCAAGACCTTGGTGCAAAGAGCACTTTAAGGTCGGCATTTTGATGATCCAAACCTTGGTGCGAAGAGCACTTTAAGGTCGGAATTTAGACGATCAAGACCTTGGTGTGAAGAGCACTTTAAGGTCAGAAATTTTGACGATCCAAACCTTGGTACGAAGAGCACCTTAAGGTCGGAATTTATACAACCCAAACCTTAGTGTGAATAGCACTTTAAGGTCGGAAATTTAACGATCTAAACCTTGGTGTGAAGAGAACTTTAAGTTCGGCATTTTGACGATCTTAACCTTGGTGTGACGAGCACTTTAAGGTCGGAATTTAGAAGACCCAAACCTTGGTGTGAAAAGCACTTTAAGGTCAGAATTTAGACGATCAAGACCTTAGTGTGAAGAGCACTTTAAGGTCGGAATTTAGACGATCTACACCTTGGTGTGAATAGCACCTTAAGGTCTGCATTTTGACGATCAAGACCTTGGTGCAAAAGAGCACTTTAAGGTCGGAATTTAGACGATCAAGACCTTGGTGTGAAGAACACCTTAAGGTTAGAATTTTGACGATCAAAACCTTGGTGCGAAGAGCACTTTAAGGTCGGCATTTTGAAGATCAAGACCTTGGTGCAAAGAGCACCTTAAGGTTAGAATTTAGAAGGCCCAAACCTTAGTGTGAATAGCACTTTAAGGTCGGAATTTTGACGATCCACACCTTGGTGTGATTATCACTTTAAGGTCGGAATTTAGACGATCAAAACCTTGGTGTGAAGAGCACTTTAAGGTCGGAATTTAGACGATCAAGACCTTAGTGTGAAGAGCACTTTAAGGTCGGGATTTAGACGATCAAGACCTGGGTGCAACGAGCACTTTAAGATCGGTATTTAGACGATCCAAACCTTGGTGTGAATAGCACCTTAAGGTTAGAATTTAGAAGGCCCAAACCTTAGTGTGAAGAGCACTTTAAGGTCAGAATTGTAACGATCAAGACCTTGGTGTGAAGAGCACTTTAAGATTGGCATTTAGACGATCCAAACCTTGGTGTGAATAGCACCTTAAGGTTAGAATTTAGAAGACCCAAACCTTAGTGTGAAGAGCACTTTAAGGTCAGAATTTAGACGATCAAGACCTTAGTGTGAAGAGCACTTTAAGATTGGAATATAGACGATCAAGACCTTGGTGCAAAGAGCACTTTAAGATCGGCATTTTGACTACCCAAACCTTGGTGTGAAGAGCACTTTAAGGTCGGAATTTAGACGATCAAGACCTTAGTGTGAAGAGCACTTTAAGGTCGGAATTTAGACGATCAAGACCTTGGTGCAAAGAGCACTTTAAGATCGGATCAAGACCTTGGTGTGAATAGCACCTTAAGGTTAGAATTTAGAAGACCCAAACCTTAGTGTGAAGAGCACTTTAAGGTCGGCATTGTGATGATCCAAACCTTAGTGCGAAGAGCACTTTAAGGTCGGCATTGTGATGATCCAAACCTTAGTGCGAAGAGCACTTTAAGGTCGGCATTGTGATGATCCAAACCTTAGTGCGAAGAGCACTTTAAGGTCGGCATTGTGATGATCCAAACCTTAGTGCGAAGAGCACTTTAAGGTCGGCATTGTGATGATCCAAACCTTAGTGCGAAGAGCACTTTAAGGTCGGCATTGTGATGATCCAAACCTTAGTGCGAAGAGCACTTTAAGGTCGGCATTGTGATGATCCAAACCTTAGTGCGAAGAGCACTTTAAGGTCGGCATTGTGATGATCCAAACCTTAGTGCGAAGAGCACTTTAAGGTCGGCATTGTGATGATCCAAACCTTAGTGCGAAGAGCACTTTAAGGTCGGCATTGTGATGATCCAAACCTTAGTGCGAAGAGCACTTTAAGGT